TCAAATTAGGGGCTCCGAGGGGCCAAAAGTTTTTCATCTTTAACTCTTTAACGATCAATAATTTGTAATACATTACTGAAGCAAAGATGCTTATCTTAACGTTTTACAACAATATAGGATAAGATTCTGATCATATGTTACGTAATAAAGGGTCACAAGGGGCCAGAATGCTAAATCTTTGACGCTTTATATCTCGAAAAGGGGGAATATTTTGATATGCAATGCTGAACAAAAGATAGTCAGAATAATGTTCTAAACAATATGCACCCTTTCAAATTTTGTCAATCGACCCCATTAAGGACTTTGAGGGATGGCCCCTAAATATTTCAAATCAGCATATCTCCACAACGAAAAGAAATCTCTGAATAGTTGTTGAACAAAAAGTCTTCAAAATCATAACATCTTTCAATTGATATCAAGAAAAGGGGTCTGACCCCTAAAACTAGGGGCTGAGAGGGGCCAAAAGCCTGTCATCTATAGCTCTTTGATAATGTTATATAAATCAAAAGAATGAAATCTAATTAGGGAAGTCTATATATCATTATCTTTTAACAAAGATCATAGTCAAAATCATATCTCATCTTATCGAAAAATTGGACGGAAGACCTACTCGTTGCTCGCAAGGAGATCTCATCTAGTTGTCTTTCTTTTCCAACTTGTATGAGAGTGTGACAGGTGTATATATTTTTGCAATGAAAGGAGATGAGCGAACAAGGCGTGCAGAATGCCTAAAGCATTGAATTTAGAAAAGTCATATGCAATTTTTGAATTTAGTATTTAGAGCTTTAAGTTCTTATCATAGAAATGTGTGAAATTATGACAAACAAAACTTTTCTGCGGAAATTTCTTTCGACAAATAATTCTCTGAATCAAAAAAATGTGATATACTTGTGCTTCGAACCCAGGTAGTAAAAAATTTTCCTTCGAGCTCGAGACTAACGCGGTAACCACTACGCTATACTGCTCATAACAAATATCGTGTTTGTGATATGACCCTTGACTAAATGGACCTCAAATATTCTCGGAAAGATACGAATGTGGTGTCTGAAAGTGTATTTTTAAGGTTTAATGGGTCTTTGCTCAATGTTTTTGTTAACCAAACAATGTATATTTTTACGCATACTTTGTACGTCATCTTTAAAAAAAACAAGCATTCTGAGAGTATTGCATTAGCAAAACTAGTCCCCTACCGGCAAGTGTAATCTGGTTCCCGTTAAGAATTGAAAATGCCATAAATCCGTCCAAAATTAATGAAGTGGGACGAAATGCAAACTTGATCTATAACTAATTAAGGTAAAGTCATATACCAAAAATCAGCTCAATATCTGAAAGCGTTTAGAAGAAAATTGCGGAAAACCCCTAAAAATTGAAAAGGCCGTAATTCCGTCAAAAATCAATGAAGCGGAACGAAATGCAAACTTGATCTGTAACTCATCAAGATACACTCATATACAAAAATCAGCTCAACATCTGCAAGCGTTTAGGGAAAAAGTGCGGAAAACCAAGTGGGACAGACTGACAGACAGACGGACGGACAGACAGACAGACGGACGTCCGTCTGTCTAGCTGTCTGTCTGTCTGTCCGTCTGTCCCTCTGTCTGTCTGTCAGTCTGTCCCACTTGGTTTTCCGCACTTTTTTCCTAAACGCTTGCAGATATTGAGCTGTTTTTTTTTTTTATATGAGTGTATCTTGATGAGTTACAGATCAAGTTTGCATTTCATTCCGTCTCATTGAATTTTTACGGAATTACGGCCTTTTCAATTTTTAAGGGTTTTCCGCAATGTTCTTCTAAACGCTTTCAGATATTGAGCTGATTTTTGGTATATGACTTTACCTTAATTAGTTATAGATCAAGTTTGCATTTCGTCCCACTTCATTGATTTTGGACGGATTTATGGCATTTTCAATTCTTAACGGGAACCAGATTACACTTGCCGGTAGGGGACTAGTATTGCTAATGCAATACTCTCAGAATGCTTGTTCTAAACGCTTGCAGATATTGAGCTGATTTTTGGTGTGTGACTTCACCTTGATGAGATATAGATCAAGTTTGAATTTCGTTCCACTTCATTGATTTTTGAAGGAATTATGGCATTTTCAATTTTTAACGAAATCCAGATTACACTTGCCTGTAGGGGACTAGTATTGCTAATGCAATACTCTCAGAATGCTTGTCATAGAAGAATAATTTCTATATCTGTGAGATTGTTGCAAATTGTGGGGATTTTACATAAAGTTTACGTTAATGTTAAATGAAGTATTTTTTTTTAAATAAAATGTCATAAGGCCAAAGTTTTTTTTCGTTTGGTTTACGATTCCGCCGACCCTAATTTTCACAAATTATGAAAATAAAAATAATGTCTTTTTTTCGACATATTTTTCCGGCTTTTTCTCAGCTGAACTGGTGGGTTTTAAATTTTAGAATGCATCTTAGTCAAATAAGCGCTTATAAATATATGAGACCTTTACAAACATTTAGGTGACCGTAAATAAACACATGTGCTAACCAAAAATGGCGGCTCTGTCATGTAAGTTTGTAACAAGGTAATTCCTCACTAAAAGCAATGAGACACACTTAAAGAACTTTTTCTGCATGGAAAAGTGAATAAAATCTTGGATAAATGATCCCTTTCTCCAATTGCTATGTCTCAATTGGCTAAATTCATACCATAATATTGGAGAGTGTATGCCCAACCCTGATCGACCTAGCAGACACGGATACACATATAGATAATAAGGATTTATCAGTGCCTTCTCAGGGGCCGAAGTTCGGCCTATTCCCAATTGAAAATGATTTCAGTTTTTCCCAATTTGGCAGTATTTTTTCTCAATTGGTGAACAATGCTTTTATTTTTAGTTATCTTGGAAAAACACTAAGTAAAATTGTCAGATTGTCTGTAATTTTAACTCATTTAGCAAAGCTACAGTCATAACACGTTTAAAAACACTGTAAAAACATCGCCAACTTTTAATCCGAATTTCCTCTGTTTTTCAAAAAATGATGATATTGTGTAATTATATAGATTTATTAAGTTATTTCCACCTACTCATTTGATCTGCGAGTTAATGGTAAGGACTTTAGGCATTATTTCAGATAGAAAAATATATTTTCAATGCATTAATACATATTAAAAGAGGACTTCTAGAAAATGTGTACTTGGTATAATTTTTTGCAGGAGGTTTTACCGTTTATAATCTCCAGAAACAGATACGATAATGATCTAAATTGAAATCTCATACACACATGTACATATACTACCCTAAGCTGTATAAATGCTTTATACTCATTGAAGTCCATTTTACTTTTATTAGTCTATTATTCATATAATTGATTTTGTACGAATAAGATGGATCATATTTAATTGTCATTTGGTTGCCCAAATTTGAGTTCGTCCTGAAATGTTAACTTAATTACCCTTGAGTACATGATTTAAGCAATATTTTTAAAAATTTTTGCAATTTCATCAAATAGCCGATAATTTTTTTCCAATTCCCCAAAAATGGTGTTTCCCAAAATAGGCTGATAAATCCATGGCCGCTGGTTGAACAATAAATTTGATAGCTGCATGATCAAATTATTATAACCTTTATTTCAACATCAATTACTTTTAATATTGTTAAACACTTAAATTGTATTTTTCTTCAATCTAAATTTAACTTGAATTTGGATCCTTATTTTTAGTTTGTGGGGATACCAAGGTTTATAACACATCACATATCACTGAAGAGCACAAAATGGAACATCATGAACCAAGCACTGATTGACAAACAAAAATCAGAATTATATGTAAATGAAAATGACATTCAGTTTAAAGTTTGAAATGAATTAAAATTAAATAAAAAGAGTTATGTGATCTAGACAATAAAACTTAAAAGTACTATCGACGTGTATTATTTTTATTAAAATAAACATTGCTGTTATTTTAAAATGAAATTGTTGAATCCTAAATTATTTTTATTTTTATTTTTCGACCACCCAATGCATTTTTTTGAGACAGAAAATCGTAAACCAAAAAAAATAAAAACTTTGGCCTAATTGAGATTTAAAAATTTTTCACCTTTACATTTGTTACACAATAGGTATTTTGCTCGTTTTGTTCGCCCATCTTCTTTAAGAAAAAATATTTTTTACTTCCTAGAGTAGATATGTAAATATGGTTACAGGTTTGTTATCTTCCCACAAAAAATCAAAAGATGAAGAAGATAGAGCCGACGTAAATTAAATTTGCGAGCCTTAAGAATTGGTTTTACTTATTTGTTTTATTCTGCAGTATGACAGTCCTATTGAAAGGAAAAGTTTATTAGTCTACTCGATTAAAGCTAACAACACTGCCTAAAACACCAATAATTAATAGGGGACTAATAACATGTACATGTAAAACATTCAAGGTTGAGAGAAAACTTGGATTCATCCTATCGATTACGATCAATGTATGAATTCTATTCAAATTCCCCGGTGGTTAAACTTAATTTCAAAATATTTGATTATGCATTAGACCGAATAATGATTATACAGTTTACAGCTTAAGGATACATCGTTATAATGGAAAGAGAAAAATCAATTTTTATACCCCGCTTATATTGTGGGGCATTGTTTAATCAGTGCTATTTTGGCATCCCGCTGGTTTCCTGATTATAACTCTTGAAAGCATTATACATGTACTACTGAGCATTTTATAAGAATAGAAAGCAAATTTTTTTTTAAACTTTCTTTTTCAAGGTCAGTCAACGACATCTTGAAAGGAGAAATTTTATTTCAGGTATCAAACTGTTACTATAATGATTATAACACTACTTCATGAATGTACAATTTAGTATTTCTACAGACAACCTTGTATGTTTAGGATCTTATAATATGGTAATATCATTATTTGACCTTAGCAACAAGTGAGTTTTTCATCCACGTTGACGGTGCTCATCTTCCTATTAGTTCCCATTAACTTTTCAGTTTTACAAATACCATGCAATTATTATTATATTTTTTTGAAATTTTTTTTATTTAGATGCAATTCATTATGATCCTACACCAAGCTTCATCAGTGACTGGATAAACATGACTGCTAACTCTTCCACTGCATACATTAATTTACAACACGGACTAGGAGAGCTTCCATTGCTGGTCAAAATAGAAGCTCGAACAGAAGAGGGGTTGATCTTTCCAGGCTTTGGATCCGCACAGGCAGATGATGACTTCATTGATTTCTATGGGGGAGTGGTCTTCATATACAATGAAATACATATTCAAATTTATGTCCCTCACTGGAACAACAATAATAAGAAACGGAATGGATGGACAGCTCTATACACAGGTCTGCAGAATAATAATGCATTTACATATTGTACATTTATATTCAAAATGAATTTTTATATAAAACAGAATTACTTTTTATATTCTGCTAAATAAAGGCGTTAAGAAACTGCCAAAAATTGCTCATTATCGTATCTCCTGTAAAGAGTTATATATCCATGTTGATCTGTTATTTCGATTTTATTTAACATAAACACACGAGAGCATGACTGTAAAATCAAGAATAATTTAATTATTGTATGTATTTACCTAAAGAACAAGGTACATTTTCAATATAAATCTTGCCCTGCGTTTTTCTTAAATATGAAAGTGATGTAAAAAATTAAAACTCATGCTTTTTAAATCATTGAAATCCCATGCAGTAAGATTATACAAACCATTTTTTTCACATAACCGAGTCTTCTGTCTTGGGAGCGTCCTTTATCCAATGAGGATAAAGCATAGGCGCCTTCTTTTTATCATATCTTATATGTTTAAATTCTGAAGTAAATGAAATTTTAGGGATTTAATAATTATATTATTTTTAAGATATTCAACTATTTCTCTAACTGTAATTTGGCCATCTTTCATAAATTGCTCAACTAAGGACACATCTCTTTCCCAGCTTGCTTTCACTGGGCAACTGAACAAACGTAATTTTAAACCATCTCCCTTTCTTCACAAAAACAATCAATCCAATGAATGGTTAAACTTCTGGCAAGTCTTTTGTCTTCTTAAACCTTGTACAAATTATTATATGCTACTGCAAAGGAATTTACAGCCGTTCGATGCTCGAGTACGACTCAGTCAACCATTCTTTGTCACAAATCATCTACATATTGACGTCATTTTCACATTGTGACGTCACAAACATGGAGCAAAACATTACATAACATACATGGAGCAAAACATTACATAACATCTGCTATTTATAGAACATGTGTATGACTATATGTGTGCCAAATTTCATTCTGATCTGAATTGTGGTATTGTAAATATAGAGATAGTTCGCGAACTTTTTGATCACCCCTCCTATATAATATGTTATGACATGTATAATTATATATTATATATATATATATCAATAGGAAATCTAAAGAAATGGGTTGGGCCAGACGAGATAAAAAGAGAGTACATGTCCATTCATGTACGTGCTAAGGCTTGGAAGTCAAGTAGTATGTCCCCTCCCTCCTGGAAAAGTAGAACTATTTCTGTTCGCAGAGGTAAAATTAACACTATCTATTGAGGACACCGCTTTTGTATCATTGTACAATCCTATGTTTACATGTATATATGCTTATTTACAGGTGAGTGCATCAATACAACACTTGAACACTCTCTGAAGACGTATCCTGACTTGGTTGTCGTTCAAATCAACACGCCTATGGGGACTTTTCAAGGTCAAGGTGCGTTTTAAGTTTAACTTAATTGTTACATTTGGAAATTCGTTTTATATTATATCGTACTAAGAACTTACTCGTGTCAGTATTGGTATATTTACAATTGATGATATATATTGTCAGCAAAATTTCATATAAAAATTTTGTCAATTAATGACAATTTTTGGGGATTACTTAGGACATATCATGAAAGACACGGTACAGTAAAACGTATTGATGATGTCACAGACATCATAAAAAATTCTCATTGATACACAGTTTGGGTTACCTTATCCAAACAAACATCCATTCATTACATTTTCAACAGTGAAATACTGTGATTTATTTTATTAAATAAAAGTAATGTTCTGTCACAGTGTGGAAGGATATCACAGTAAATAAAAAATAATTTCTTGCCTGTCATAAGATAGAGATGGTGACTAAATCATCTTGATAGAGACTAAAACTGCCAATTTCTTCCCAAATACGTTGATAAAATCTAATATGTTACAATGTAATCTCAAAATTGCAAAGCTATGACGTCTCAACCGCTTAACTGTGACATCACAGACGCCATGAATAATCAAAGAATGTAATAAACAGAAAATGCAATGTTTTGTTGTTGGATATAAAATTTATTTCACTCATGAAGAACGATTTTTTTTATATATATTTTTGCTTTGCACTCGTGAAAATATATTTTAAAAAATCCTGTCCCGCTCGTGAAATATATTCCATATCCAACTACAAAACATTGAAAATCCTCTCTATAACCGTTATACTATTTGAAAACTATAACAATAGTAATCTATATTATTTCGAAGTGTGATTTTTAACCCCAAAACTGCAGACTGATATTTCGGAAATATTGTACGGTAACTTTCGTAGCCTACATCAAGTTGTCGACCACTATCTTCTTCCATCTCTGGATTGTCTGAGGTCCTACCTTTTGAATTCTCTTGTGCTATTTATTTACAGATGTAGGGTATACATGTATTAGGTGTACTACATGTTTTCTCAAGCATATTTTGGGTCTGTGTTGCCTTTTACCCGAACATTTCACATACTCTGCTCCGTCAAATTATTGACGTCATTTTTAGCTGTAGTGGTCAGAGACCGAAAAACTTATGCGATAGTAATGTGTCCGTCTGTCTGTTTGTTCGTCTGTTTGTCTGTAAACATTTTTAGTAATAGTAATACATGTAGTAATGTGTCCGTCTACAGCTGTCTATTTGTTCCTCTGTTTGTCTGTAAACTTTTTTTGAATGCTAGTCCTCCTAAAGATTTGGTTCGATTTGAATATAACTTCGTGTACAATAAGATTTCACTAATTAAAGATACATACGAGGGGTTATCAAAAAGTTCGTGGACTGACTATGCAGATTGTGATTACAAAATTTGTAAGGAACATAAAACAACAAAAGTTTAAGAAGTGTTGAAAATTTTAGCTTGATACGTTGATAATTTTCCAAATTATTATAAAATAAAAAAGACAGTATATGATCATCCGGTGCTTTCGTGCCCGCTCCCTGTGCCTTAATACACTTATCTTGATGAGATTCCCTAGAGCTAAGTCAAGACTTAAACCCGACTTTTATATATATATATATATATATATATATTAGGGATGTCAATTTTGTCAATAATTCATATTCGAATATTCAATGAAAGTATTCGAATATATTCGAATATTCGATAGGATTTGGTTAATTTCATATATGCATCATCTTACCGTCATGACAGATTTGGAAGAAAAATTGGGTGTAGAATTTTGTAGATGTACAGAAAGGAATTTTAGTACATTTGCTGTTTTTCGATGTTTGAAATAAATATATTGATTTGAGTGTACACATCCGAAATATAATTCTAAAATAATTATATCTTGAAGCTCTAAACGATGAACTGATCATCTTACCAAGGGCAAGATTGTCGTATACTGTTCAGATTTAAATGCATGTAATTAATTATAATTATCTACCCAATAAGAGTTGTAATTATAATCCTTGATTCAATGTTTTCAAAACATAAACACTTCCAAGGACAACTTTCGTAGATAATTATAATTACATATTTTCCCGAAAATGATTTTAAAAATTTGAAAATGTACAACCTGAGATAATCAATAAATTAACGCAATTTATTCTGAAATTGATCCCTTTATGGCATTACAGACTAATTCTATAAAACAAGTAATTCAATGATCAATGAATTTATTTTGTCAAGTAAACTCTTCACATCTTTTAGACTGACAAAGAAGGGTTTCATTTTGTTTTCCTTGAAATTAATCATAGTTATCTCTTTTTTGTGAAATCTGGAAAAAAAAAACGAATATTCGAATCGTAATTTTTTATTCGAATATCAACTCATCGAATGAATATTCGAATAATCGAATATTCGTTGACATCCCTAATATATATATATATATATATATATATATATATATATATATATATATATATATATATATATATATAATTTTACAATGTCATAAACAACTTATTTTATGCATATAAAACTGTAAGTGGATCTATACATAGGGAAAGATCCTCACTTGATTATGCCAGCATATTTTGCTTGTCGATGTCCAATATCTACCACACATGATCAACGTATCTTTTCGATGTGACTGACTTTTGACACCCTGACTACAAATCACATTACCTGTGCATCTCTAATCACTCTGAATCTTTTTTGGTATTTAAAAACAAGTACTCTGGATGTATTTTATTTCTCTGTAGCCCATTTAAACACTTCCTAGGTCTATACCACTTTTCCAGGGGGCAAAACTTTATAGAATGTTGGAAAAAGAAACCCCTCCGCCTTTTTGACGTCATTTTCAAGCCCTTAATTGTTTGGAAACTCCATATAAAATTAACGATAAAATTTCATAGAACTTACAGAATGAGGTAAAAGTTGCAAAATTTATGGAACAATGAAGTCATACCACATGCAGAATTAATGGGATATTCAGATGACATGCTCAAAACGTCATGTTCGAGGTTGCTCCGCCTGGACATACCATTACTTACAAAAACATTAACAATTTATTAAAAACGTAAAACGTATGATATATGGTCTATTCTATAGAAAGAAAAGATGATGCTTACTAAATGTGTAAAAATTCATTGATGTATATAAACCGGTTATGATTTTATGGTGCTAGTCCACGAAATTTTTTATAACCCTCGTAATTTTGTGTATCGGTGTGTGATTTCGATGAACAGGGTTGCCACGGTTACTAAAACTAGAAAGGATGTATTCACAATTTCAAAGGAATTGACCGTTAAAAGAGAACATTTTCCCGGAAAAAATACATTTAAAAATCAATGTTCATTAGTTGTTTCCTACCGTATATACGTATGTCTGAATTTTCAAATTTGTATTTTGAACCTAAAATTTATCATTTTTAACTTTAAAATTAACCTCCAAAGTTGGGCAAAACAACGTCTTGTCCGTTAAAGCACCGATTTTAGTATGAATTTTGGCTTAGAAGTCCTTCAGGACAGGCCTGCTCCTAAATAAAATTGTGATATTTTGATAGCTTGTTAAGTAAAGAATAATTTTTGATAGGAATTTCTTAATGGACACCCTGCCTTAGGGTCGAAATTTACCAAAAACAAAAAAAACAAACAAACAAACACAAAAAATAAGGAAACGTGTTTTGGACAACCTGGTTTCACATTTTATATAGCAAGAATAGCTTGCTTGAGTAATAACACCGAGGTTCCTTTTTAAAGTCGTGGTTTGAATCCACCTGGTGCCACACTTTTATATTTTTAAATTCTTTCCTATTCAGAGATTAGTGTAATTTTTTATAGGGGCTTGTGTATTTTTCTTCAATTATCTATCTTTTATGCATGTTTATTATTGCTATTAAAGACAAAAGAAAAAGCAAATCGCAAATTCGATCGTTACTAAAACATATATAGTCAAGCGAAACTATATTTCAGTACAGCACGCTTTCTTCGAGAACACGAAATTTTCACTCTGTGTTACTCGGTACAGGTATTCTCGCCTGCAGTGGGCTGCGATGGATATCTATTGTATATATATATATATATATATATATATATATATATATATATATATATATATATATATATATATATATATATATATATATATATATATATATATATATATATATATATATATATTCCTTAGAATTTAATAAATTCAGTGTATAACATTGCTTTTATTCTTTCTGTACTACAAGTACTTTCCTGGGTTATTGCGCTGGTAAGTATAAGTATTGCTTGTATTATCTGAGCTTAATATTATATTTTTGAAATACATACATGTACATGTATTGATTCAATGTTCTAAATTCAGATCTCAAGTTTTCAGACAGTGGCACTACATATCAGTAACTGCACTCCCTTGGATTTCATTTACATGTATATAATTTGTAAACATTAATGGTATGTTTTTATTACATACACGGAAATGTTAAGTTCCTCCAATCTCTACATATTGAAATAAAATAATTTATGAGAAACGAACCAGTACATGTATGTAGTCTAAAGTCACTGACCTGAACAGAAACCGACAAGCGATTTCTGAAGACGAAAACCAACGTCGGACCTACAGGTGGGCGCTCCATTTATAACTAAATGTTCCTTTCTGGGAAATTCTTTCAAAGCGCTACTCCTCCTACAGTTTCTGCCCAACTTGAATATAACTTCGTAAACATTTGGACTACACTTAGATACATAATTTTGAATATCGGTTTTTAATTTCGATGAACGGGGTTGCCATGGTTAATAAAAATAGAAATTTCTGAGAAATTCTTTCAAAATGTGACGCCTCCTACAGTTTTGGTTAATTTCAATACTAGATCCTGTCATAAGAGAGTAATACCCACACGTAAGTGTTTGCCTCTAAATATACTCTCTCTTTTACATGGATAATAAAGAACCCACAACAGTTATTCTATAATCTACATAAATTATATATACATGTATTAAATTGAGCAAAAAATGCACAGCTGAGCATGTGGCCTATAGGCCTCTTACGTTTGTTTAATA